ACTAATCCCAAATCAAACTAGTGTTTATTTAAAGATATTTTAAGCCATTAGTTAATAAAATTTCATAACATAAGTAAAAATGACAGGTGTGAAAAAAACAACACAAGCTCGACATCGGGGTGTCACAAGTCACGAGTATCTACTAAGGTCTGTCTAAGTACAATATAGACTATCATAGTCTAGAAACAAAGATACTAAAAGTAGTCTTAGGGAGATAAGAGGGAGAATATCAAGGCTGCGATCACCATGCAGCTACCTTGCCGACTCTAGGTATCCGCGATGGATGATGGATCAGCGCTTGCTATCACGTCCCAAAACTCCTAGATCTGCACACTAGGTGCAAGGAGTAATGTGAGTACACCAACTCAGTAGGTAATAAAAGTATATGAAAACTGAGCAGTAAGAAATCAGATGATTCCACGTCAAAGCACTATAGTAAGTACAATATGTTTTCAAAACAGTATAAAAATCAATTATCTCATTAAACTCCAATTTCAGTAAAAGTTCTTTCAAAATGTCTTTCTAACAAATTCAAAAGAGAATCAATAAAGTTTAGAGCAAAAATGATGATAGTATCAAATAGAACCAGCCCCTCGAAAACCTCACAATCACTCATAATCCGCCCGTCGGGCACAACATGAATCAAGAACAGCCCATCAGGCAACATCATATCACTCACTCTGGGTACCCGCGCTCACTGGGGGTGTACAGACTCCGGAGGGGCTCCTACAGCCTAAGCGCTAACACAAGCCATCTCATGGCATAATAAATCAGGCCCTCGACCTCTTATATATCACAAAGCAACACAATATGTTGCGGCGCGCAGCCCAATCTTATGATATCCTCACATCACAGGCCATCGGCCTTACTCAGTCAGAAACCTCTCAAGACACTCGGGCTAACAGTAAAATAGGATGTTTAACCCAAAATATCTTTTATGCATCAAATCAGACTAAATAAGACTAATTTATGAAATCAGTAAAACATAGCACGACTGAGTATAGATATTAAATCAAAACAGTGAGGAACATTAGTAAAGAAATCCCCTGAGGTCCAAACAGTTGGCACATGCCAGCCCAAAACATAGTAATACTTTCTAACATATGGTAGTATCAAGTAGTTTCAGTCAAATGTAACTTAATAGTTGCTACGGGACGGACCAAGTCACAATCCCCAACGCTGCACGCCCATGACGCTCGTCATCTAGCGTGTGCGTTACCTCAAAATAGTGAGACGAATGAATTCCGGGGTTTCATACCCCTAGGACAACATTTACAATTATTACTTACCTCAAACCGGACCAAACTCTAACCCGCGATGCCTTTGCCTCTAGACTCGGCCTCCAAATGCTCTAAATCTAACCAAAATCAATATTACATCATTAATATATGCTAGAGGAGTAAAGCCCATGCAAAAATTTTCAAATTAAATAAAAAATCTCGGAATTGGCCAAACCCGACCCCGGGCCCAGGTCTTGGAATCCGATAAAAATTACAAAACTAGAAAGTACGTTCACTAACGAGTCTGCCTATATCAAATTCATCAAATTCCGATATGAAATGGCCATTCAAATCCCCAAAATCACTCTCCAAATTTTCTTTCATTTTTCCCAATTTTCACTAAAAATTCCCAATTTATATGATAGAAATCAAGACACAATCATGGAATTTAACCAAATCTGAGTGAAGAACACTTACCCTAATTACTCCTCTGAAAATCCCCTCCAAAATCACCTTCTCCTGAGCTCTCTATCGAATTTAGAAATTATGAACTCAAACCCTCGTTTTTGAACTTAAACATTCTGCCCAGTTATTTCCTTTATCGCGATCGCGGAATTAGCCTTGCGATTGCGAAGCACAATAATAGACTGCCCCTCATTTAACCTTGCGCGATCGGTAAGGTTCCACGCATTCGCGAACTTAAGCCACACAGACGTACGCGATGGCGACCTCCTTCACGCGGTCGCATAGAGCAACCGTTTAAACAGATCACCAGCTCACTTCCTTCTATGCGAACACGACACCGGCCACGCGTTCGCGAAGCACAACCTCAGACAAAAATGCGATTGCGACCTCATCTCTGTGATCACATAGAACAAATCCACCTCTGCCTCAATTAAGCCTACGCTATCGCGAACTCCTCTTCGTGATCGCGAAGAATAACTCTTTTGCAACAGAAAACCAGCAAAATCTGCTAACTTCTCAAGTCCAAAAATGTCCCGTTAGGCATTCGAATCACACCCGAGGCCCTCAGAACCTCAACCAAACATACCAGCAAGTCACACATCACTGTTCAAACATATTCAAACCTTCGGAACGCTCAAAATAACATCAAAATACCAAATCATCCTCGGATTCGAGCCTAAGGATTTCCAAACTTCTGAATTTCGCAAACGATGCCGAAACCTATCAAACTTCACCCGAATGACCTGAAATTTTTCAACCATGTAACAAATAAAATCATGGACCTAATCCAATTTCAGCAATTCCATTCCGACCTGATTTCAAGATTTCCACTACCGACCGAAAAACGCCAAATTTCCAATTTCGTCATTTCAAGCCTAAATTTACCACGGACCTCCAAAATACATTCCGACTACCCTCTTAAGTCCAAAATCATCTAACGAAGCTATCCGAACCATCAGAATTCACATCGGAGACCTTCTACATATAAGTCAACATCCGGTTTACTTTTCCCATTAAAGCTCCTAAATTAGAGACTAAGTGTCTCATATCACTCCAAGACCATTCCGAACACAGAACAACGAACCCAATATGATGAAATATAGTTGAAAAATATATAAGGAAACAGAAATGGGGGAAACGGGGCTGAAACTCATGAAACGACCGACCGAATCGTTACACACGGTCCCTTTTTACTAGCATTGCATTATCTCAAACTATCCTGTAATGGAACCCTCAGATGTTCTTTATTTTTAGCATAGACAAAGCTCATCCAGAAAGGTTCACATCGCCTTTTTTGAATAAACTTCACAGTAACCAGTTGATGATCCTTTGCTATGACAGTAGCCTCAAACTCAGCAGACCAAAACAACCAAATTTTACCATTAACATTAGCCCTACACTTCTCCAAACCCAATGTTCTTCTACGCTGCTCAATTTGTGTAGCTTCAACAAATGGCTCCTGAACTGAAACGATCTTAATCTTGTACAATTTTACTAAAAAAATTAATCTTGCGAAAGCCCCTCTGGTCTTAACACCCCTCATATTCCATATGATCGTCTCAATCATGGGGGTGTTTAGTGGTTGGGGCACAACTTTGGGAAGCCTTTACTTTGGCTCTTGTTAAGGGGCTAATGATGATATCCTTTCTAAATTCTTTTTTTCTTTGGGTAGATTTTCTTTCATGATAAGATCATTTCTTTATTTTATAATAGCATCATCAGCGTCTACTCCGTTCCAGGAAGAGCCAGGAACAAAAGGCTTGACAAGTTCTTCCTCATCTGTTGAATTGCATTCCTCGTACTCATCCACCTCTTCAGATCCACTATCTTCATCTCGATTAGCATCAACAGTATTGCCAGCCTCCTCTGTATCCAATTGGGGCCCATAGATGAATTTGTTCCTCTTTAATCTTCACTTCACTATTTAACATTAAAAAAAAGGAAAAGAAAAACATGAACAAAACTAGGAGTAACTAATTAGACATCTATATCCACTTGCTTTATCGTTTTCTTCTGGAAAAATATACTCATACGACGTAGTAAGTTCTTTTTCCTTCTAACAAAATTGCATGTCATCACTACATGCTACGTTTCTAAAGCTAAACTGGGTACATTTTTCTTTACACCTCTACTTGCTTTCTCAGAGATAGCTTATATATAATTTTTAGTCTTTTTAACTTTTATGATAGTGATTAATAAAGGCTCTTGTTCTTTATCCCTACCAGCAATTGCATTAACAGTTTGTAGTTTGTCACTAAAAATTGGAGAAATATATAGTATCTTTAAATAAGTTTATTATGACTTAAATATGGTTTCAGATAAGATGAAGTTGGAATTGCGTAAAAATGAGAAATATTTGCAAGTCTTCTACCCACATGGAATATTGTCTNTGACCGGGTGGGTGGTGAAGGTAACTAGTGCTGAAGTCGATGGCTAACTCCTCTAATGTGGCGGACGCCCATGAAGACTAGGACACTGCCTCTACATATGCCCCAGCTCTCCATACTCATAACAACCCCTTGGTGCCAGAGACGTGGACTGAAGGGAACCCTTAGCACCGGGATTACTAGCAGAAGAACCTGACATGGAAGAGCCCTGAACTGATAGACCACGGGACGAACTCTGGCTGGTAAGGCACTGAGTGTTGAATGGCCCTGATGAGAACTATGAGAACCGTGGCTCGATGATGCCCCATGATAAACTGGGCGAGCTGACTGAGCATGTTTTAATGGACGACCTCTGCCATGCTGAAACTGACCTCTATGAGGAGCACCACCGAATCCACCCTGACCACGAGGCCCTTGGCCTCCCTCTCAACCCTCTCCTGAACAAAAACTATCTCAATCTGTCGAGTTATGTCAACAACCTCATCAAAAGTAGCACCAAATACTCTCTCTCTGGTCATAAGCAACCGAAGCTGAAAACCGAGGTCGTCTATAACCCTCCCGATCCTCTCCCGGTCTGTGGGTACCAACCAGACCGCATGAGGAGCCAACTCGGAAAACCGCATCTCATACTGTGTCACAGACCTATCACCCTGATGAAGCTGCGCGAACTACCTGCGTAACTCCTCTCGAATGGAGAAGTGTTGCCAAGAAAGGGGCGCTACGCCAATCGGCCTATGCCTCTCGTAAGCCTTCCACTAACTAAGTACAGTCCGGGAGAACTGAAAAGTAGTGAACGAAACCCCACTGGTCTCCAGAATACCAGCGTCCGAAGCATCCTCTAACATTTATCCAAGAAACCCTATGCATCCTCACCCTCAACACCATTAAACGACGGAGGATGAAGTCAACCAAACCTCTCCAACCTGCGCTACTCGTCCTCTAGCATAATAGGAGCTACATAGTACTGAGTAGCTGTAACCGGTCGGGGTCGAGGCGCCCCCGGTGTCTGAAGTCCCTGCAGGACTTGGGCAGGTGTGCGAGCGGCGGGAGTCTGGGTGCCTCCCCCAGGTTGAGAAGTAGTTGCGGCCGTAGTAACTGAGACCGCCTGAACCAAGCCAGTGCACACTGATAAAATCTTAGCTAGGGCCTCCTAAAGGCCTAGGATAACAATAGGCACAACCGGTGCCTGAGTTGGTACTCCTGGAGCGTCGGCAACTGGGACCTGATCATGAACTGGGCCGGTTGGTGGATCCGCAGGTGCTGCCCTAACTGTTGTGCGGGCTACACCCCTGCCCCTACCACGGCCTCGACCGAGTCCTCGGTTTCTAGATGTACCAACTGATGAGACTGGTGGTCGTCCATCCTGTCCGGTAGCATATGTCCTCACCATCTGTGAGAGAATATAATAACAGAAGTTTAGTTACCAGAATCAACAAATTCACACGATAGGAATTCAAGAATGTGAAGTTTTTCCTAAAGGTTCTACAACCTCTCGAAGATAAGTACACACTTCTCCGTACCGATTAGCAAGACTCTACTAAACCCGCTCATGACTCGTAAGACCTATGTAACCTAGGCTCTGATACCAACTTCTTACGACCCTAAAACCGACCCGATCATGATGGTGCCTATCATGAAACTAGGCCAGCCAACACTAATCCCAAATCAAACTAGTGTTTATTTAAAGACATTTTAAGCCATTAGTTAATAAAATTTCATAACATAAGTAAAAATGACAGGTGCGAAAAAAACAACACAAGCCCGACATCGGGGTGTCACAAGTCACGAGTATCTACTAAGGTCTGTCTAAGTACAATATAAACTATCATAGTCTAGAAACAAAGATACTAAAAATAGTCTTAGGGAGATAAGAGGGAGAATATCAAGGCTGCGATCGCCATGCAGCTACCTTGCCGACTCTAGGTATCCGCGATGGATGATGGATCAGCGCTTGCTATCACGTCCCAAAACTCCTGGATCTGCACACAAGGTGCAGGGAGTAATGTGAGTACGCCAACTCAGTAGGTAATAAAAGTATATGAAAACTGAGCAGTAAGAAATCAGATGATTCCACGTCAAAGCACTATAGTAAGTACAATATGTTTCCAAAACAGTATAAAAATCAATTATCTCATTAAACTCCAATTTCAGTAAAAGTTCTTTCAAAATGTCTTTCTAACAGTTTCAAAAGAGAATCGATAAAGTTTAGAGCAAAAATGATGATAGTCATAAATAGACCCTCGGTCAAGACATGTGTCGTAAACCGCCCCTCTGGCATAATATCAAATAGAACCAGCCCCTCGAAAACCTCACAATCACTCATAATCCGCCCCTCGGGCACAACATGAATCAAGAACAGCCCATCAGGCAACATCATATCACTCACTCTGGGTACCCGCGCTCACTGGGGGTGTACAGACTCCGGAGGGGCTCCTACAGCCTAAGCGCTAACACAAGCCATCTCGTGGCATAATAAATCAGGCTCTCGACCTCTTATATATCACAAAGCAATACAATATGTTGCGGCGCGCAGCCCAATCTCATGATATCCTCACATCACAGGCCATCAGCCTTACTCAGTCAGAAACCTCTCAAGACACTCGGGCTAACAGTAAAACAAGATGTTTAACCCAAAATATCTTTTATGCATCAAATCAGACTAAATAAGACTAATTTATGAAATCAGTAAAACATAGCACGACTGGGTATAGATATTAAATCAAAACAGTGAGGAACATTAGTAAAGAAATCCCCTGAGGGTCCAAACAGCTGGCACATGCCAGCCCAAAACATAGTAATACTTTCTAACATATGGTAGTATCAAGTAGTTTCAGTCAAATGCAACTTAATAGTTGCTACGGGACGGACCAAGTCACAATCCCCAACGTTGCACGCCCATGACGCTCGTCATCTAGCGTGTGTGTTACCTCAAAATAGTGAGACGAATGAATTCCGGGGTTTCATACCCCCAGGACAACATTTACAATTATTACTTACCTCAAACCGGACCAAACTCTAACCCGCGATGCCTTTGCCTCTAGACTGGGCCTCCAAATGCTCTAAATCTAACCAAAATCAATAATACATCATTAATACATGCTAGAGGAGTAAAGCCCATGCAAAAATTCTCAAATTAAATAAAAAATCTCGGAATTAGCCAAACCCGACCCCCGGGACCAGGTCTTGGAATCCGATAAAAATTACAAAACTAGAAAGTACGTTCACTAAGGAGTCTACCTATATCAAATTCATCAAATTCCGATATGAAATGGCCATTCAAATCCCCAAAATCACTCTCCAAATTTTCTTCCATTTTTCCCAATTTTCACTAAAAACTCCCAATTTATATGATAGAAATCAAGACACAATCATGGAATTTAACCAAATCTGAGTGAAGAACACTTGCCCTAATTACTCCTCTGAAAATCCCCTCCAAAATCACCTTCTCCTGAGCTCTCTATCGAATTTAGAAATTATGAACTCAAACCCTCGTTTTTGAACTTAAACATTCTGCCCAGTTATTTCCTTCATTGCGATCGCGAAGCAAAATAATGGACTGCCCCTCATTTAACCTTGTGCGATTGCGTAAGGTTCCACGCATTCGCGAACTTAAGCCACACAGACGTACGCGATGGCGACCTCCTTCACGCGGTCGCATAGAGCAACCCCTTAAACAGATCACCAGCTCACTTCCTTCTATGCGAACTCGACACGGGCCACGCGTTCGCGAAGCACAACCTCAGACAAAAATGCGATTGCGACCTCATCTCTGCGATCGCATAGAACAACTCCACCTCTGCCCCAATTAAGCCTACGCTATCGCGAACTCCTCTTCGTGATCGCGAAGAATAACTCTTTTGCAACAGAAAACCAGCAAAATCTGCTAACTTCTCAAGTCCAAAAATGTCCCGTTGGGCATTCGAATCACACCCGAGGCCCTCGGAACCTCAACCAAACATACCAACAAGTCACACATCACCATTCAAACATATTCAAACCTTCGGAATGCTCAAAATAACATCAAAATACCAAATCATCCTCGGATTCGAGCGTAAGGATTTCCAAACATCTGAATTTCGCAAACGATGCTGAAACCTACCAAACTTCACCCGAATGACCTGAAATTTTTCAAACACGTAACAAATAAAATCACGGACCTAATCCAATTTCAGCAATTCCATTCCGACCCCGATTTCAAGATTTCCACTGCCGACCGAAAAACGCCAAATTTCCAATTTCGCCATTTCAAGCCTAAATCTACCACGAACCTTCAAAAAACAATCCGACCACGCTCTTAAGTCCAAAATCATCTAACGAGGCTATCCGAACCATCAGAATTCACATCGGAGACCTTCTACACATAAGTCAATATCCGGTTTACTTTTCCCACTAAAGCTCATAAATTAGAAACTAAGTGTCTCATATCACTCCAAGACCATTCCGAACACAGAACAACCAACCCGATGTGATGAAATACAGTTGAACAACATATAAGGAAACAGAAATGGGAGAAACGAGGCTGAAACTCATGAAACGACCGATCGAATCGTTACACACGGTCCCTTTTTGCTAGAATTGCATTATCTCAAACTATCCTGTAATGGAACCCTCAGATGTTCTTTATTTTTAGCATAGACAAAGCTCATCCAAAAAGGTTCCACATCGCCTTTTTTAATAAACTTCACAGTAACCAGTTGATGATCATTTGCTATGACAGTTGCCTCAAACTCAGCAGACCAAAACAACCAAATTTTACCATTAACATTAGCCCTACACTTCTCCAAACCCAATGTTCTTCTATGCTGCTCAATTTGTGTAGCTTCGAAAAATGGCTCCTGAACTGAAACAATCTTAATCTTGTATATTTTTACTAAAAAAATTAATCTTGCGAAAGCCCCTCTGGTCTTAACACCCCCTCATATTCCATATGATCGTCTCAATCATGGGGGTGTTTAGTGGTTGGGGCACAACTTTGGGATGCCTTTACTTTGGCTCTTCTTAAGGGGCCAATGATGGCATCCTTTCTAAATTCTTTTTTTCTTTGGGTAGATTTTCTTTCATGATAAGATCATTTCTATGTTTTATAATAGCATCATCAGCGTCTACTCTGTTCCAGGAAGAGCCAGGACCAAAAGCCTTGACAAGTTCTTCCTCATCTGTTGAATTGCATTCCTCGTACTCATCCACCTCTTCAAATCCACTATCTTCATCTCGATTAGCATCCACAGTATTGCCAGCCTCCTCTGTATCCAATTGGGCCCCATAGATGAATTTGTTCCTCTTTAATCTTCACTTCACTATTTAACATTAAAAAAAAGGAAAAGAAAAACATGAACAAAACTAGGAGTAACTAATTAGACATCTATATCCACTTGCTTTATCGTTTTCTTCTGGAATAATATACTCATAACGACGTAGTAAGTTCTTTTTCCTTCTAACAAAATTGCATGTCATCACTACATGCTACGTTTCTAAAGCTAAACTGGGTACATTTTTCTTTACACCTCTACTTGCTTTCTCAGAGATAGCTTATATATAATTTTTAGTTCTTTTTTAACTTTTATGATAGTGATTAATAAAGGCTCTTGTTCTTTATCCCTACCAGCAATTGCATTAACAGTTTGTAGTTTGTCACTAAAAATTGGATAAATATATAGTATCTTTAAATAAGTTTATTATGACTTAAATATGGTTTCAGATAAGATGAAGTTGGAATTGCGTAAAAATGAGAAATATTTGCAAGTCTTCTACCCACATGGAAATATTGAATACAGAATCATAAACTACAAAAAAGCACAAATGATTCGACATTTCAGAAATATTGAAGTCGTTCTTATTTGTTGATTCTTCACTTCTCTATCTAATTACATCAAGCAAAAAAAAAAAAAAAAAAAAAAAAAAGGAAAAGAAAAACACGAAGAAAACGAACTAAGAGGGAGGGGGTTTGAGCAACTAGCACACTATACACCTTTTTCTTCTAACAAATTGCGTGTCATCACTCCATGCCACACTTCTAAAGCAAGATCTTTTTTCTTTAATTTACACATCTATTTGCTTTCTCACTGCAATAGGAATTCTAACAAAATGCTTGCCATCACTCCACGCCAAACTTCCAAAGGTAAATTTAGTACTACTTTGGTGAGTAGATGTGATTTTGACCTCAAAAGAAATCTTCTTTGTCAAGACATGTGGACTTACTTTAATAGCAGTATTTCTCGGAGGTTTCACCAATACTTTGTATATGGAGTTGACATTTCCAACATTTGTAACAGTTCTCTTGACAGTAACTGAGTTCTTGAGGTTTGGAATAGATATTGAAGGGAGATTCAAATCCAACCTAGAGGGGACTTTTATCGGACATACAATGCCTCCTGCTGCAGTTGAATTTTTGCTAGAGGATAAATATGTAGTTGCATTATAAACCATCTCATTACTATAACCTAAGCTACAAAGATAATTCAAATAATCATCTTTATCCATGTCATAGACTAAGCCAGGATCTGTTGCTCCATTCGGATTACAAATTCCACCTCCGAAATCAAATGGATCAGCTAGTTTGTCTCCTGCTCCTTCTGAAAAGATTTCAGATGTATATGTGTCCTCGTTCCATGCTACACGTACAGTTAAAATATTTGTTATTACATCTGACATCGCCAAAAGATAAAAAGGCTACTTGAACTATATATCGTTTTTATTGGTTTTATTATAATATGTTTATGCCAAAAGTTTCAAAGTAGAATTACTTTAATTTGTTTACAGAAATGCAGTATCAAAAGTCAAAATAAAGGTTATCTTAGCACAAGATTGAGATTTCGATAAATAGAAAATTGGATTTTTTTTTTTTACACCAGTAGGGTATGTAATTTAAAACCATATGAAAAGATGTTGAAAGGAAGGAAAGACTATGTATTTCAAAGTTTACTTATGGATACTGACGGTATAAATTTGCTTATGCATTGTCAGATTTAAAGTAATCTATAACAATAGATAATTATTTATAATAAGTTGATAACCTAAAAAACTTAGGAAACAACATGTTTTAAATAGGTTAAAATACACTGGTAGTGCAAATATAACGCATCTAGGTTACACTATTTTCTCAATGAAACAACATAAGATATGAGTTTAGGTTATACACAATAATAGTGTATAAGTTTTTTTAACAATGGTTAACGTAACTCTTCATACTTGATAGTTTAATATGATAACTTATAATTATTATAACAAGCTGGACTTCATATATAGTATAAAAATATTATCTACTTAAATCCATAAGATATTACCAGTAGTTACAAGTGCGGATTTGATAGCTGCAGGAGACCAATTAGGATGTGCGACTTTGAGGAGTGCAATAATCCCTGAGACATGAGGGGTTGCCATAGATGTTCCTGACTGAAGTTTGAATCCATTGTCTCCAGAACGAGGAATAAATGCTGCGAGTACATTTACACCAGGAGCAGCAACATCCGGCTACAATAATATTCGGTAAATTAAACTTATAAATAGGAAATGATTAAAGGAAACAATGCAACATAGAAATTTTTATATTTAGACATAAGAGACCCTTGTTGACGTATATCCTGTGAGAGCAGTTTTCATGTAAAAAAAATATATAACTATATATTTACCTTCAGAATTTCTGGGGTAAAGGAATTTGGGCCTCTCGATGAGAACTTAGGCACCTTTAGGATTGTCTTCTTACCCTCAAGAACTTCAGATCGGCCCAATTTAATTATAGGATCTTGGTTACTGTTGCAAACAGAAAAAGTCAATGCACTGATATATAACAACTAAAGGTGCTTTAACATGATATACAAGCCATTTACTAACTTCTTTTTCTAAAGAATGTTTGATGTAATGCTTATTTTCAGGACCCAAGAAGTCATACAAAGATCGATAAAAAACAGGAAGAAGAAAAAAAGGAGGAGGAGGAGAAATATTATATGCATACTTGGATTTACAATTTATAAAATAATCAACAATTTGGTTTCCTTGCTCGAAATCGATGGCAATAAATGGTATAGGGATACCAACAATTTGATTGAAGTCTTCGATTCCAGCAAGAGGGGGCATAGCATAAATAAAAGCCGAAACTCCTGTATTATTTAGTGCTATCAAGTATCCAACAATATCCGGTTTGGTTTCCGAGAAAAGCATGACAACTTTTCCTTTCACTTCATTGGCAATAGACATGACGTCTTTAGGACTGCAAATGGAAAATGAAATTGTTAACAAAATTAAATAATTAAGTTTAATTAAAATTTAGTAACTTGTTATCTGTATTATTGGATGATAAAATATACATTTCGCTTACTTTGTAATAAGGCCAGGAAAGACCAAAGGAGCAAAGTCACTCCTTCCCTTCCCTTTAATAAGTCCTTGACCCTACAATCACTCAAATTGTTTAAACGTCCATACTAGTAAGTACAAGAAAAAACTAAAAAAGTAATCATCAATTTAGTGATCAAAATTTTAACTGATGACAATAACAATAACTATTATGCGTCTATCCCAACCGAGATAGAGTAGATTATATGAGATATTGTTATTCATGATGCAACAAAACAACAACAACAACAACAAACTCGTCCCAAGGACGGACAATATCATATAAAAAAATTATTTCACTAGCATTATAGAAGTTCTCTACCTATATTTTCTACTAGCATATAAATCTCTAGCACATACACACACATATACACAAAAATATTATTTGACCAATCTACCTGTACGATTAAAGCTTAATCTCAACTTATTACAATTGATGTCGCTCATATAGATACTTTTCTTCTTTTGTGCCCTATTTCACGCTAGGTTTGAATAGATTCCAAAAGTTATAGGTTCGAGACAACTTTCTTTCATATTTTAAGCCTATCTCATCCCATTTTAACACTTCCACTCGAAATGATAAAAGTTTTAACATAACAGAAAAACCTTACTAGTATTGTCTTGTTGTTGCCAAGTGTTAAAGGAGTAACAATTTGTGTATCCTCGTTGCTAGCAGCAACCGTTATAAGCCACGGAGAAGTATTGGCGATAGTGTTTGAGTTAGGTCCACTATTTCCTCCAGCAGCAACAACAGGTATGCCATGGGATACTGCATGAAAAGATCCTATGCCCAATATACTATCGGCATGAACTTCAGCTAAGGTTAAAGGACCACCAGCAAGAGATGCTGATAATATATCAACCCCGTCTCTTATGGCATCATCAATAGCAGAAAGAATATCAGCACCACTAGAAAATGGCACACCTTTCGCGTTTTTCCAGGATACCTGTTAAAAACATAAGTAATATTATTAAAAAAGTAAACAAAAGTATTTTCTTCTTGTTAGTATTTAAGCTTTTAGCTGTAATGGTCACACCCTTCAAACAGTACCTTATAAATAGCTAATCGTGCAAGTGGTGCTCCTCCTCGTGTTGTCCCCATGTTAAGGCCATAGTATTCAAGATTGTTAACATAAGAACCAGCAGCTGTGTAGGCAACATGTGTACCATGTCCAGTGTTATCTAATGATGATAAATTATATAATTGCCTGGCCATTGTCTCGTTTAGTTTCCTTTCTTCCATCAATCCCTTTATGTACCAACGAGCTCCAATGATCTTTCTGTTACAATGTTTTGTGGCATCGAAGTTTCCTTCAGATATGCATTTACCTTTCCATCGAGATGGAATCGGACCTAGTCCCTCATCGTTAAATGCTTCCGAATCTCCCCGTATACCTACAAAGAGTTGGATCTTTTTAGAGTTAAAGTACTCTATGTTGCTTGGATCCTATAAATATGCCGCTGTCCCATGTTTGATCCAATACAGGTATGGCGATATCTTTGGAGGATCAAAACAATATATTTTTTAGTATGAACATTAGCTGGACCAAATTTTCTTAGGGGGATAGAAAAAATATAACAGTGAGGACAAAGGAGAAAACGCAAGATGTAAACCTGAATCTAGAACGCCAATGATTATTCCATCACCCTAGTTTGTTTTGTTCAGAAGATTGTTGGGGTTATTCTTAGAAAGACCCAAAAAATCCCAACTCCTTGATGTTTGAGTCTCGTAAACACGATTTTGTATAACTCGGACCACACCAGGTAATTCTGAAATGCAAAGAAAATATATCAACTAAGTGAAGAATGATGGAAATTTTAAATATCGAGAAACGTGTGATAGTGGAAATTAAATACCTCCAATTTGTTTGGCCTGAGAAGCAGTGAGCTTAGCAGCAAACCCAGAGAAGCCATGTCTATAGCTATATAACATCAGTTTTTTGGCTTCTTCCTTGCTGCATGACCAAAATACACGAGTTTAAGCTTTATATACTAAAAATGTTGTACAATAGTTTTTCACACTCAAGTCACTTATTCTCACGTGCATGTTAAGACAATAAATTTAGTATACCTATATTTATCGGCATAAATTAATTAAGTGATTATATCGCGTTAATTATCAGAATTACGATTCAAATAAATAATGGCATAATATGTAAACTTTCTTAAGTTGCTATTTTGTTTCTATAATATTGATCTAATACATAGACTTAAAATTCTTGAATATCGCTTCGTAAAAATAGTAACCTAATATACTATACATCAACTATTGATTGTATGAATATCTTTACATATTGTAGTGCAAAAATGATATCGTCCTATATGTAATATATATACATACCTCCCAGCCACTTGACCTAAAATGTCATGATGTGAATCAGTGATAAGTTCATGGTCATCGTGTGGCTTGTGACCCAAGCAGACGATGTAAAGCTGTAGATACAATCAAAAACAGTAAACAATCAATATCATATAAGTATTAGTTGTTCTTCATGGTCATTTTACATGAACAAATTAAAGAATATTCGATAAAATCAGAAGAAAGCTAACTATTCAAATCACTCGTGCATTATTCGGAAGATTGTGCACAGTAGAACTCTCTCTCCACGAAAATTAAGTTTCAAATATATTCTTGTCAATTTGTAAAAAAGTTTATATAAAATTCAAGAATATCCAAATTACCTTAGCCTGGGCATCGTCCGCTTTTGCGGTTATTTGACAAAAACAAGTGAATATTAACAAGAAAAATAAAAGAACAAGAGAAGAAGTTGGATTATTCATCTTTTTTGAGTCGAAAAACAATTCGTGGCTCATAATTTAAGTGTAAATATTAGCCATTCACTCGAATACGAGTAGATTAATGATGCTACTTTTACTCTTTAAAAATGGTATAATATTTTTCAATTTTTTAGAACGTATACTTTCTATTTTTTACGAGTGATAAGGCCAAGTGTTCCACTTGTTAAATGTAACTGAAGAAAATCAATAAAAGATAGGTTAAAATAACTTGGGCACTTCTTCATATCACTATATGGTATATGTATGATGTATTTTTTTTAAACTTTTCCCAGATTACCTCGGGGTGTTGTATTAGAAAAAAGAGGGAGTTTGTTGATACAACACGAGGGTAGAGCACACCCTTCAAAAAATGATGCATAGGCGATTATAAATAGATCGGCCCCTCTAAATAACAAATTGCAAAACTAGTCAACAAAAAAGTTGGCCTTGTCATATTTGTTCCTTATGCAAGGAACCTGATCTTTGTCCAGCAAAAATGGGCCTTTCGCCCGACTAGGCAGCTGGTGGTTAGGATAAAAGTAAGCAGGGTTGTTGATTGTTCAGTACCATATTAGCCAAGCAGTCCGCTAATTGCTTCTCCTCTCTATAGGAGTGACTAATCTGGATATGGATGTGTTGATAGCCTCTCTAATTGTATACGGTAAAAATCAGAGGGTTCGATTTTATGGTCAATATGACGCTTCATAAGTATGTATCCAGGAGGCTCAAGGCTCAGCTCGAGTTTCGACCCCGAGGGTTCTCAGTGCTCGACCTCGGGGCAGCGCAAATTGATGACCATGATGAACAAACGGGAAGTTTCCAAGGCACGTGGTTAAAGCTGACCAAGTCTATTAGGCTAGTACAAGCCCATACCATTGCATTAAATGGCTGTACTAGCCTCATATCGTATAATAAGTGCATATTTATTGTATTGGGATTCTCCCTCCTATATAAAGGGGATCTTATCATTTTGTAAAGCACACACAATATTAAATACAAGAACAAGAACATTCTGTGTTCTCTATCCTAAACATATTCTCCCTTGATTCTATTGCTTACATTTATTATATTACTTGCATTTATTGTATTTTTATTGATTGTTCTTCATTTATTACTCATCATTGATCATAAAGAGCTCTCATCAAGGCCCTTAGAACTGTTAGTTCTCCGTCGACTGTCCACAGCCTAACGCTTAGCTTAACCCCGAGGCCCCGTACAACCTAGCTCGAGGCCCTGATTCTCAGTCACTCGGTTTTCGTATCACACTACCTTGAAGCTCTTACCTTTATTTTTGTTTGACGCTTAGTATCTACTGCTTAACAACTAGCATAAAAATAAATCACGTATTTTTAGTACCACAAAATCAATCTAATTGTAATAACCATTTTCAAGATAAATAGTTTGGCGCCCACCGTGTGGGTAAAAATTATAGTGATTGTTTTCTTGCTGGTTTACTACATAACACAAGTTATCCTTCACGTTTTTTCTTGTCCAAGAATCTTTGACTTCAGGTCAAAATGTCTAACTCAGTGAATGCTCATGAAAATAACGGTCCTGAGGACCATGGAGAGAATGGTGTAGCTGTTTCAGGCATCGTAGTACCACCGCGAAACCCTGAGGACGCACCAGAACCAATTCCTGTGGACGTGGTCTCGGGCAATGCCCAACACGTCGATATAAGCTCCCACACTAACAGGAGTATACACCAAGAAAACCATTAAGAACCCTATTAAAACCCCGGCTCTGGAGAAACAAGAGGCTAGCCTTCACGTTACCTTCGAGATGTTACAGGCACAGCAATTAGCGATTGCTCAATTGCAAAGTCACCAAAAAATTCCAAGCACAACAGCACCGAAAATGGCTCCTCAAGCCGAACATGTACCAGAAAGATCAAGCAACAATGGGTCAGCAACCGACCCCTCCATCATAAAGATGCTCGAGGACCTCAAAAAGAGGATCGAATCGGGCGAGAAGAAGATAGAAGACAATGACAAGAAGGTGGAGACCTACAATTAAAGGGTCGATCAAGTTCCAGACGCACCCCAATCCTGAAGGGTGTAGATTCAAAGAAATTCGTACAAAAGCCATTCCCATAAAATACTGCTCCGAAGCCTACCCCGAAGAAATTCAGAATGCCCGATCTTCCGAAGTACAACAGAACCTCGGACCCCAACGAGCACGTCACTGCTTACACTTGTGCGGTAAAGGGTAACGACCTGAAGGACGACGAGATTAAATCTGTCCTATTGAAGAAATTTGGAGAAACACTTTCAAAAGGGGCCATTATGTGGTGTCACAACCTAGTCCCGAATTCAATAGATTCATTTGCCATGCTGGCAGATTATTTTATAAAGGCATATGCCGGTGCCATTAAGGTTGCTACAAGAAAATCTGACGTCTTCAAGATCAAACAAAGAGAAAACGAGATGTTTCGGGAGTTTGTATCTCGTTTCCAAATTGAGCGAATGGAATTACCACCAGTCTCCAATAACTGGGCAGTGCAGGCCTTCACCCAAGGTTTGAACGAAAGAAGCTCGGTAGCTTCAAAGCAACTAAAGCAGAACTTGGTGGAGTATCCTGTCGTGCCTTGGTCGGATGTCCATGTTGATACCCAATTTTTCCCTAAAATATTTTTCGAAATGCAAAACTATGCATTAGCATCAATGGGTATTTTTCCATAATTTTTACATCTTTAAATTAATTCATTTCATTTTTTTTGCAAAATTGCATCACAAATGAGTTTAGAACATGTCTTGATTTAATATTACTATTATAGGCCCGATTGAGTCCAAATTATTTCATAAATAGCCAAATTGATACATTTTGGCTATAATTGCAGTAAGCTTGAAATTATAGCCCATGCACACATTTTTCGTATTATTTTTACCAGAAACTAGTCATTTGCATTTTTAAACACTAAATAACTATTTTAAAAAACATGTCTATGCTTGAAATCTAATTTTTTATATTTAGTAATTATTTTACAAATTATTTTTAATCAATTGTTTGGGGTATTTAACAAATAGCCACGTATGTCCCAATTTTAACCCTTTTTATACCAGCCCAAAACCCCCTTAATGTTAAACCAAAACTAGCCCAAAACCCCTTAGGTTCAATCTGCATTCACCCGACCCAAATCCTTCGGCAAATCCTGGTCGTTGATCACTTTGATCAAACGGTCAGGATAGTTCCTACCATAATTAAACCTACCTACACACCCCAAGCCCTAATCATTCCCCCCCATACCCTACCGTCACCTGTTCCCTCGTCTCTCAAATGCTCTCTAACTCTAACCCTAATCCACCCTCGCCGTCACTCATCTATGGCCATTCGCAGTGGTTTCTCCCACCCCCAGGCCTCCAATGGCCTCTTCGCTAGTGGTATCACCATCTCCAGGGTCCTCAAGGGACCCGGGTTGGTCTGCTTACACCTTTGGTCTTTGCTCGCCTGTTTCAGGCTGTTCCGGTTTGATTTTGAGTAAGATCTTCCTATATCGCCTATGATCTATGGAGTTCTAAGCCTACTTCTTCATCTCTGTGATTGTTCTTCTCGAAACCCTAATTTTGGCCCTTTGAACATCTCATATCTGTGCAGGATCTGAGATAGATCGAATCTATCTCGTATGAGTTTTACAAGAACCTTCTGATTCTTCGCAAAGAACCTTCTAATTTACACATGGTTTTCCATTTTTTCTAAACTAGGGTTTCCGAAAATTTCTCTTTCCCAAACATTTGATAATTTTGAGTGTTTAATCTTCTGTATCTTATGTGTTTTAACCGATTTTGTAAGGTTTGCTCTAACCCTAACTCGTTTGTGCTAAAAACCCTAATTTTTCAACATTTTGCTTGGTTTCTTATTTAGTCTTGTACCGACTTTGTCTTATGCTTTGCTTCCTGTGATTTTTCTTTAGCGTAATTAGATGTCCTGTGATTTTTATCCTAATATGTCTCTACTAAGGTTCTTGGTTTGACTTTTCTATTGATTCTATGTTTCTATATTCATTTTTTGCCTATTCATGATAAACCCATATTTTTACCCTTTAATCAGTGTTGATTTGAATGCTTGATTTATAAATCTCTTTCCAGACTATTCCTTTCCTGTCTTATTTGAGATTGTCCGATACTTGCTGACTCTTCGCATGATTCTTTCCTTAATTAAACCATTGACCCCATATTATGAAGTTCTTTGTTTTAATTAAAACTCATTTCCTTAAATAAGATGTCTGATTCTTACTTTTTTACTCGGCCTGATTGAACTTGTTGACTTAATTAATTCCTGTCGTTACCGTTGGTTGATTTTCCTTAACTAAAGGAGAAAACTATACTGAATCTCGTGTAATTGATTGTGAAAATCCTTAATTACTGATTGTTGATTGCTTTACCTTATTTGCTCTACTCTTGAGCCACTACATAAACTCTCTTTATTTTAACCTCTAGACACGAACACTAGTTCCTCCACACTCTCACACTCGAAAAGGCTCTCTATTTTCTTCTGTTACTTGCAATTCTCACTAATCCAGCCAGCTGTAAGGCAAGGCTGGCTATTTGCACCATCTCTGCTCTATACTCTGTATTCTCTCCTTAACTGGTATGTCCTGATTCAATTCACATTCCAAAAACTATGTCTTTCTTTGTTGCTACAGTTCATAGATTGTGATTTCCAATTCTATTTGCTATTCTACTGTCATATGCTCAATGTGTAACCAACATGCTTAGATTACACTGCCTAATTATTGTATCACTCAGCATGTTTAAGTTTGTTCTGTTAAAAGCTACAACTAGTATACTATTTAGAATGCTCAATATGCTTTAGATAATTGCATGAATCCTATTTGTTCACTAGTATGTTCAAGCTGCATTGTTTGTTTACTGTCTCACCCATGTGTGTATTGGTCATGGTTAAAGACCTATGTATTCTCAGCATGTCTTTGTAACTAACTTGTCAATTTTATAACTTCTTGAGGAATCTGTGTATTTGTCTGCTATCACTAAGGTGCATTCTAT